TGTTATATGGTTGTCCTAACAACAACTTATGGTGACAACAGCTTATTGTTTCCTGATATTAGAATTACCGAAATCTCGTGATAATTATTCAGGTTGAACATGATGTTTTTTTTCTTCTTATTGGGTTATAATTTTAACTTGTACTTACTTCTGTTGATTTATAACTAGATAGACATATCCATTTGCATGTGGATAGACGATTTTTTTCTCCCTTTATTTACTTATTCTTTTATGCGTTTATTTAGGCTGCTAAAGTAAGTTGGCCAAATAATATTAGTTGGTGTAAAATCTTTGATGAAATTTTGTCTCTTTGGTTTTAGATTTAGCTGATTGCATTTATATATTTAGTTCATTTGTTACAATGCTATGTACTAAATTGTATATATCGTCTTTCTTAACAGGAAACAGAGAAAACATGAAATTGCATATACAAAATTTTGAACTGAATGAGAAGGATGGGAATCTGGGAATCGAAGAGAAATTAGCAGCTTTCCTTTTCTTTTCAAAATAACTATCTAGTTAAAGTTTGAAATTCTTGTAGTTCAGTGAATGATATCCAATTGGTTAACTGGATATGGTAGACATTTGGTTTGTTATTGTGATAGAATCTTATGAATTGTATACTATTTATCATTTTGTAATATCATTTTTATATTTATTCTTCTTGTTATCATGTTTATGAAATAAATTTTTATATCATTTTTAAATTGCTATATGAAACGAAAAGTTAACATTCCATAGCGAAAAATAAAATAGTTTAACTGAAAAGGCATAGCGGTTACAGAATGTCGTAATTAATCCAATAATGGCCCATAAACAATAGCATTTTAAAAATGCTATTATTAGTTAAACATAGCGGAAAAGAAGTGTTACGAGAGAACATACAATAGCATAAAACAAACGCTATGAATCTGTTTTTTACCATAGCGTTTAAAAAACGCTATGAAAAAACGGGAGTCTATTATAGCTCCGGCAGACATAGCGTTTGTAAAAGCGCTATAATACTCTATTATAGCGTTTTTCGAGCGCTATTGATGGCGTTTTGTGGTGTAGTGCGAAGGCGAACCTGGAGCGCCGTATGGCTATTGCATATGCTTCCATGACTGCTGACGCATAAAAAATGTAATAAAAAAATAAAAATAATAATATTATTACATATCCATCGAGAAAATGTAACGTTGCATAAATACTTATCGATTTGAAAACTTATATAAATTCGTGAATAAAAAATATACCATTCTATATTGTCGAACTTATTGCATTACGATGTTGATAACCCCTCGCGTAGTTAAAATCTTGCCGATTTAGTATACCGTATACATCTACGGTGACAATTGAAGGAAAGTAGTTCAAAAAATAGTGGCAATTAAATGTCAAAAAAAATAGTTAGATATAACTTATATTTTTTAGGGGTAAATTACGGCTACCGTTAGAGGTAAAAATTACAAAGAAAAAAAAACTTTTATATTTGAGTAATTACAGTCACCCCCTCAACTATGAAAATTCTTACACGTCCTTCATTGCGGTGTTAAATTCAGTAAAATCTTCTAAATTATGTGGAATATTCTCCAGATTTGTACCCGTTTACCCCATTGGAACTCCACATTTTGAAACAAGAAGATCTTTATAAGATGTGTCTCTTGGCTCGTAAATATTAGATTATGGTGCATCAGAAATTGTATTTTTGCACAAAACGGGTACAAACTATAGAATATTCCACGAAATATGGAAGATTCTTTTAAATTTGGTGCCATAAAAATAGACATGTAAGAAGATTCATAGTCGAAGGGTGGTTGTAATTACCCAACCAAAGAAACTCTCCGACATGATATTATTATAAATATAATTATCAATAATAATGGTAACCAATTTGAAATTGTTTAGGGTACCATGTATTTTGTTTCAATTGAAATTGAATTTAATCCAATAATATACATGTAGAGTACTCTCGAAAATAAATCATCGATCGACGACTACACAAACCATCTCCGATAAATTTTTTTCTAATAAATTCTAGTGATTAAATTATGAATTCCAGTAAATTTTATAATAAATTCCAGTAATTAAAATATGAAATGCTCATTATCTCACTAACGGTTATAACTTGTTATAATTGTATTTTTCCTACAATTTGGAATTAACAAATTCTGATATTAAAAATGTCATAAAATCTAAGTGATTTTACTTGCAAAAATCTATTAAAATTTCTAAGGAATCAAATCAAATGTTCGCCTATAAATACTAAAATAAAATAACATTCATGTACATTATATACAAACGATATATAACTCTAAAACCCTAATATTTAATATTATAACTAATTATTCACGAGATGGCCAAGTTTACTACAGGATTTTTGCTTCTATTTGCTCTCATTTTTGCATTAGGTAATAGTTTTCTCCCCAAATATTTGGCTAATTAACCAATCGATCGTCCGAATATCGAGAGATCGACGACCTAAGTTTATTTTTTAATCGCCTAATATGAATTTATTTATATTAAACGGATGGATGCATTTCATTCATTAATCGACGTTATATATAGTATTACATTATTTTACATTCGTCATCTAAATAATTCGACTTTTTTTTCTTCTTCGTCGTATCGACTTTACGAACGAATGGGTCGATTGATGCAGGTATAAACACCGGGAAAATAATGGTGGAAGCAAGGGAGATTGGAAGTCGGGATATCACAAACCCTAGTTCGTTTCCAGTAAAGAAGGCTAAAACATGTGAAAGTGGTCTCGGTCAATGCACAAAAAGATTCAACGACGCTAAGTGTAATCACGCGTGCATGGAACACTGGCCGCGTTCGGTTGCTCCACCGCAAGGGTTTTGCCAATCCACTTTTCCCGGAGTTCCGAAACTATGCGTTTGCTTTCATGATTGTGAAAATTAAAAATTGAGAGTTTTTTGTTCTATATATACATTCTTCATAAGTGAAAGATTGTATGTTTAGATTTGCACAATTAATGCAATAAACATTTTGAAATACCATTTGTTCTAAGAATATCTGTCTTCAAGAATTTTTATTAGTGGAAATTGAAATGACATTTGACAAAATATGAGTGGTTTAATGAAAAATTTTGTTCCAAAATCGGAAAATTTCGGATTAGAATCGGTGGAATTCGGATTAGTCGCCTTAAATATAGAGTGTAAATACGGTCACCTCCCTGAGGTATGGTCAAATTACGGAAAAAACCCCCCTCATGTTTGAGTATTTACAATGCAACCACCCCTCAACTATGAGTCTTCTTGCACGTCCACCCTTATTGTGTCAAATTCAACATAATCTTCTAGATTCCATGGAATGTTCTTTAGTCTGTACTCGTTTTGTGCAAAAATACAGTTTCTGATGCACCACAATCTGATATGTACAAGCCAATAGACACATCTTATGATCATCTTATTTCAAAATGTGGAGTTCAAATGGGCTATAAAACAAGTACAAATTGGAGAATATTCCACATAATCTAGAAGATTCCCACTTGCCGCCGGAGCAATTTTCCGGCCACCGAATTCCAGCTACTGCCGTTGGTCGCCGGTGACACAATGGCGGCATCTTCGGTCAGCGTTGTCTGCAGCTCTCTTTTATGATTATAATATTACACCAAAGAATTTCAAATAATTTTTATTATATAGGGTAAATTACAACCACCCTCTGACGTATGGTCAAGTTACGAAAAAACTCCTCTTGTTTGGATAATTACATCTACTCCTTCAACAATGATTTTTTCTTACATCTCCACCCTTATGGTGTCAAATTCAACATAACCATTTAGATTTTGTGGAATATGCTCTAGTTTGTACTCGTTTTGTGTAAAAATACTGTTTGCAAATATTCCGGAAAATGAACTTAAATAGAAAAGCAGGACTATGGGTGCTTTTAAAAAAATAGCTTAAAACAGATTATTTTAAGAAAAAACAAAAGCAAAAGTTGATTTTGCAAACACCTGAAAACATATTATAAGCAAAAAAAAGTTCATAATTACTTTCTAAAGGCGTTTGCAAACACCACCTAAGAGAAATATTATTATGATAATACTATTACACCAAAGAATTTCAAAGTTATATAATAATTTCAACTAATCCTCATAATCTATTCCAGCACATAGATATTTAACTTAGAACTATTGCCAGAGATTTATATAACAACATTTTTCTAAACTTGTGAATAACAAATCTGATGTTTATATTTTATCTATATACTGAGAATTTAAAAATAATATTATGTAAATCGATTAAATTACAAGATGAAAAAGAATAGTAGTAAAAACTAATTTGACATATATATATATATATATTATATATATATATATATATGTATACATATATATATATGTATACATATACATATATATATATATATATATATATATATATAATACTAGTCACATACATAAATTATACAACTCCAAATCGAATAAATTTCAGTTTCGTAACAAAAACCACCATTACAACTCCGAATCGAAGAAATTGTCGAGATGGCCATGTTTGGTACTAAGAGCTTCTTCGTTTTCCTTGTTCTTATTTTCGCCTTAGGTAAGATTTGTCCCTCAAGATTAATATATCACTACTAGAAAAACAGCTTTTAGTGACGGTATAATGACGCCATAATATGACATCTCTTAAATTGCGTCTCAACAACTAGCATATTAAGGCGCCGTAAACTAAAACCGCATAACTAGTTGGATATTTTATTTTTACTTATTCTATTAATTCTGAAAAAATAACAAATATGACGTTTTTATATAAACCGTCATAACAGACTGGTTATATCGTGACAATATTTATTACGCGTCTTAATAGAATCGCAAAAATGACCCAATTAAACCCGGTAAATTTATTTATAAAAATTACGTCTTGCCCTCATCGAGATACTTGGTAATAGAGATCTTAACCCTTACATGTGTATATGTTCGAAAATTTATAAGCATAGCAAGAAATTGGGAAATAACGATGCTACACCTGGTGAATATAAGTAGGTACCCTAATTGATAAGATTCCCACTACGGGTTCAGTTATGGCCCATGGGATTTTAGAAATATAATTATAAAATAAATTAAAAAGGACACATGTCAAGAAGAGAACTCACTAGGCCAAAATGCATTTCAGGCGACGAAAATTTGCGACGAAAAAGTCTTATTTGCGACGGAAAATAAATTTTTGCGACGAAACCGTTGCGACGAAACAAACGCGAAAAAACGCCACAAAATTGCCCGTCGCAAATATCTGCGACGAAAAGTAAAAAGTGTCGCATGGTTTGCGACCTTTTTGGAGAAACGTCGCAAAAAATTAATTTTTTCGTTAACTAAAATATTGCGACAAAACCGTTGGTAATTGTCGCAAAATCCATGATAAATTTGCGACGAAAATAAAATGTCGCTCTTTGATGCGACGTTTAGTTGTAATTAATTTTGTCGCAAAAATTAAATTAAGATTGCGACGTTTCTACAAAATCGTCGCAATATTTATTTTTATTTTTTTGTTATTTGATGATTTAATTTTTTTTTATTGTTAAACCTTAATTATAAACAATACTAGTAAAATAAAATTACAATAAAAACATTAAACAACTCAAATTTTATATCCACTACTTTAAAATTCACATTTAAGTTAAATTATCCAAACATGAATATGAAATATACAAAGATAAGTTAATTCTCGTTTTCTCATTCTTCCTTAGAGAATTAGTTGCAAGTGACAGAGGGGTCATAGTGCTCGGACTTACTTTCAATCTGTTGAAAAAACACAAATCACACAGTTAAGGAGTTGCTCAATCAATATAGAATTCGTAAAAAAATCATGTTGAAAAATAAAACTTATAAATGCAATTTATACTCAGTTACTCTTACCTTCTTTTCAATTTCATATTGATGCCACTCTGTATCAGCCTTCCCTTCTTTCTTTGCTTGACTGTTTTGACTGAGAGAAGCTTCAACATCCTCTGTCCAAAGAAAAAAACTTATATAATAAGCATACAAATGCCAATATAATCAATCAGCACATTTAATTGCAACACAATAATAATAATAATAATAATAATAATAATAATGAACATATGGAATCTTTATCAAGTTGTCTGATCAATTGTGAACATAAGAAATTTTTTTCAAGAAAGTTCTAAGTAGTAATATCATTGCCGATAATGAAACCTAAACAGTTTGACATGCATATATTTCATGTATATAAACATAGCTATAGCATATATGCATAAATGTATATACATTTAATTACCGGAGAACTGCAAGTCCGTAATAATAGAAAATTCAAGAAGATTGCAACGTAAACTATCTATAAAAATTACTATCTAAACCATCAAAATCATTTAGAGACAAGAATCGCCGATACTTGTTTTATTTTGGAATAATGAAGTTTTTAGATTCATAATGCAAAACAAAAAATGTCATAGGAAAAAAAATAGAGAGAAAATCACCAAATTTAGAAAGCAAACAAATCAAGAGAAAGGGAATTGCATTGCCACTCGTAGGCTCATGCACATTATAATATACATACAGTTTCAATTAAATGAACTTATTATCGGCACAAATGCATTCAGTAACTATAGAATTATTTGAGAAATAATTTAAACCTTACCAGCAAGGTAAAGAGCAGACACAACGGGGAACGAGTGGTTTGCTACAACGAACAATAAAGCTCGAACAATTGGTAATGTACAATGGCAAGCAGCGAATGGCGTGACAATGTGCAACAGCAAGCGGTGAACGGTAAGAAATTCCAATCCAACTACTAGCATGGGTAAAGGGAAAAAATTACAAGTTTGTCCTATAAGATTTCAAGATAACTAACAAACCATACACATTCATCAAATATCAGTAAACACATTCAAAAAAAAAGAAGACAAAAAAAAAACAAACAAAAATTGAAGAACAATACAGAACCATAAATTAAAATAATTGGTCTTTTGCAACTGTAAACCACAAAAAAATCATTTGGGAAAAAAATAATAATAACCCCAAATAAAGTATTTGAAAAAAAAAATAGGAAAGAAAAAAAAAAGTAAGACCATACCAATTGATTAGTGGGTTTCAAGTTTCAAGAATTCGGTGTGGGCGTCGGTGGAGGTGTGATGACGGAAGTGGCGTCGGCGAAGGGCGGAGGTGGCGTTGATGTGGGCTCCTGGTGCGTTGGAGGAGGGCGGAGGTGCGACGACGAAGGTGGCATCTTCCAACTGAAAATATGTAACGGCTAAGAACGAGCATGATCAAATTCATGCCAGTTAAAATAGTCCAGCTCAACAAATATTACACACATTCATCTTCTTCCATCACATTTATACAGTATATACTTGCTACCCTTAGCTTTCTACACATCATAAAAAAATTTGAATGCATTAGCAAACTGACACACAAAACATCGATGAATCAAAAAAAAATCTGCATTTCATAGGAACTGTTTCGGTGGATCTAAACACCTTTCAATCTCATAGTAATGTATGGAAGCACAAAAACGAATTAAACTCTAAAATTAAAGATGGAAATTTTCAAAACAAACAATCATTCTACAAAATACAGAAGAAAAAAAATTGAAAATTGAAAATTTTGTTAGCCTTAACAAAATAGCCCAAATTAGAACTTCAGTGATTCAATAACACAACCAATTCTAATCAATCCGATCCAATAAACACACCAAACCTCAAAATAATCAACTTCCCAGATAAAAATTCCGGCCAACTTATCTCAAAAACACATAAAACCCGAAAATTTAGTTTTTTTAAGGAACAAAAAAACGATCTGCCGAAGAAGATCGAACCATCAGCGCACAAATTGAAACCAGATAAATGGTTCCTGGTGCGTCGACGAAGGGCGGAGGTGCGTCGGCGTCGAAGGGCGGAGAAGGCGTTGGTGTGAGCTCCTGGTGCCTCGGAGAAGGGCGGAGGTGGCGTCGGCAAAGGCGGAGGTGTTGGCGGAGGCCTGTGAGAAAGAAGTAGCGAGAGAGTGAACAGAGATAGGAGAAAATTAGGGCATAAAGATATTTAATAATTAATACATTGCGACATTAAAATACAAACGTCGCAAGTTTGAATTAAGTTTGCGATTTTTATCTTAATTTTGCGACTTTAAATTAAAACGTCGCAAATAACGTCGCAAAATCCCCATTCTACGTGCGACGTTTTAAAACAAATGTCGCTCGCTTGAATTAAGTTTGCGATTTTTATCTTAATTTTGCGACTTTAAACTAAAACGTCGCAAATAACGTCGCAAAATCCCTATTCTACTTGCGACGTTTTTAATATAAACGTCGCAATCTATATTTGGTAAAAAGTCTTTAATTTTTTTTTTCCATTGCGACGTATTGGTACATTATCGACGCAAGGTTGCGACGAAAACTGAATTTTCGTCGCACATATTGGAGGAAAATATTAGCACTTAATTGTGCGACAATATTTTACTACGAAACTATTTATCGTCGCAATAATTTCTATAAATTTATAATTTCTGATTATTTGCGACGATTTTTTATAAAATAGTCGCAAATCGTGCGACGAATACTTTTTCGTCGCAATAAAAAAGTCGCCTGAATCGAATTTTGGCCTAGTGACTACCCGGTGAAAATCACCGGGTGTAGCATCGTATTCCCCAAGAAATTGTAGTGTATACATATATATATATATATATATATATATATATATATATATATATATATATATATATATATATATATATATATATATATATATATATATATATATATATATATATATATATATATATATATATATATATATATATATATATATA